AACAGTTTTGGATGTTTGCAAAATTTCCCAGCTAAAAGTCACAGATGAACCTATATCCAGAAAAAGTTACTCTGTTAAACACTACATGAAATTTAACATGATTGATGGAAATACAGCACCAATTATAACAATTATAACAAAAATATGAACAATTTAAAAATGTTGTCCGTAAGCCAACAAATGAAGAAGCTCTCCAATTACATAGTGCATGCAACTTAACATTTAATAAATAAAGAGCTACTAAAGATTTCCAAAAAATGAAGGAATCTGAAAAAAAAAGAATTCAACATGAATTTAAATCAAAAATAAGCTTAACTATGGAAACACATCAAGAAGATTTTTTCCAAATCCAACCTTAGTTGCAGAGATAACTAAGGTTGAATTTAATTTAATACATAGGTTTCAAACCATTCTACAAGCTATCACTACACAAAGCTTGATAGATGTTAGTGGATGTTTGTGGAACTGTACTACATGCCTACGTGGAAAGGAGGTGATGGAAAATATATCTTTACCAATCGGGGTCCTTTCAAAGGAGGCACAATAACCCCAAAATAAGGATTTAAAAAAATTTAGGTGCGTCAAGAAAAACAAAGAGAACAGCAACAAATGAAGATATTTTACATCGACTTTTAATATCATCTGACCCTGTTATAACATTTGCAAGAAAAAAAGTTCAGAAATTGTTAATACAATTTGTTTAGTTATTTATTGTATTTTTTTAATATTGATATAATATATTTTTATAATATTAAGGTAATAAAAAATGTCCACCAAAAAGTTACAAAACGTTAAAAAAGTCCCTATTTTTTGTGATTAGATATTAGACTGGGCCAAAAAAAAACGACTATTTTTTTTGTAAATATATCGAAAATATTGTTTGGGGTGACAAAAAAAAATTATGGTGAAAGTTTAAGTCCATCATTTTAATATTAAGAGGCAGAGGCGCAATTTTAGATTTTTTCCTAAGCGAGGTTTTGTCTCAGAACTCCCAAATTTTGTAGAGCATTCAATTTTCTTCAAAAAATAGTCTTAAGTCAATTTTGTCAAATTCAATTGTTTGGGAGTTCTAAGACAAAAACTTGCGGAGGAAAAAAAATTAAAATTGCGATGATGATGATGATGATGGACTCAAACTTTCACAATAATTTTTTTTTGTCACCCCAAACCATATTTTCGATATACTTTTTAAAAAAAATTGTTGATTTTTTTGGCCCAGTCTATTAGATATGGTTTATTTTATTAAACAAATCATACCTAGAACAGGTAAAAAAAATATTTTATCCTTATGAAAGTTATAAAATTATTTCTGCAAAACTACGTTTTTACCACAATCCACACATGTGTGGATTGTGGTTTTTACAATATAAAAATGCTATAAAAAATAAAAGCCTTAAGTTATTTATGTAAGAACATGCTTAATTATATATTATATTTTGTCCTATTTAAGACATTAGAAAAAAAAAAATATTTAGTTTGTTTTGTTTTGTTTGCCTCAAACGGCATTTTATGTATATACTAGGGTGTTTCAAAATAAGGCAATATTTTTCTTTTTTCAAATTCATGTGAAATTCTCGTCACTTATGCTAAAAAAAATCTCTCAAAATTTGAGCTCTTAATATTAATTTTCCGTCATCGAATTTAAAGTTTTCCCATTGATTTAACATGGAAAAATACTTTTTTAGGATTTATTTCGCCTGCATACTATGTACAACTTTCTTTTTTGATAAGCAATCACTGGTCCTTTTTTAGCGTTAAATTATCTACAAAAAATCTTACAGAGTCCAGTCTGTAGATTCAACTGTTTCTTTTTTATTAACGTTGAAACGTATAAATTCTAAACAGGGCCGCCAGACCTACGTCATTTTAATACTGATGAGATTTTTTTAATAAATGCCCTAATATGTAGTTAAAAACGTATGGGTACTTGCTAGCTTGAAAGCGGGGCCCTTTTACAGATAACGGGCACTAAAGGTACATAAAAAAGGTACCTTTTTACGTTAAAGTAATACCGCTGGTTTTCATATATGTTTTACACATTGTTATTAAAAACCAACATTCATTATTGCCAGACGCTTTCCAGGGGACCTAACTTCCGCCAGACGCTTTAAAGCTCAAGAAAAAAGGGCTGAACCTACGTTATAGTAGTACTCCTGAATTTTACATATATTTTTTGAGTGATTATTTTAGGACCTTTTGTAAGCAGCCAGACCAATCCGAGGGGCCCAAGCCCCCCCAGACGCTTTAAAGGTCAAGAAAAAGGGGGGAACCTACGTTATAGTAGTACTCCTGAATTTTACATATTTTATTTGGTTGACTATTTTAAGACCTTTTATAAGCAGCCAGACCAATCCGAGGGGCCCAAGCCCCCCCTGGCGGTTTAAAGGCCAAGAAAAAATGGGAGAACCTACGTTATAGTAAAACTTCTAAATTTTACATATATTATTTGAGGGACTATTTTATGATCTTTTGTAAGCAGCCAGACCAATCCGAAGGGCCTAAGCCCCCTGAATATTTTATATATTATTATTATATATTTATTATTATATATTTTAAGACTTTTTGTAACTACCCAGACCATTCCAAAGGGCCTAACCACGCCCAGACACGATAAAAGGTACGCTGTGAGTACGAGAGCAAGGCATGCATGTGAGTGCGAGTGATAGTATTAGATGGCTTTATTAGACAGCTTCATGAAATTAAAGTTGTGTATTTGTCTTTATGGAATTTTTTAATAATGACTTAATAATATTTAAATTCTTGTTATAAAATTAGTTTTAATTAAATTATTCAAAATTTCAAAAAATTTCAAAGATTTTCAAAATTTTCAGGATATCCAAAATTTTGAAAATTTCAATTTTTTTAAATATTTTCCAAAATTTTCATAATTCCCACACTAAACTTGTACCAACCAGGATAAACAATGGCACTTAACGGTGTTAAAATAGCCACCCAAATAATATATATACATAATACAATATTACAGCCTATGATCTTATATTATCGTGTCTGAGGGGGGTTAAGCCCTTCGTATTAATCTGGCTGCTTATAAAAAGTCCTAAAATAGTCACCCAAATAATTTATATATAAAATTCAGGAGTACCACTATAACGTAGGTTCCCCCCTTTTTCCTTGACCTTTAAAGCATCTGGGGGGCTTGGGCCCCTCGGATGAGTCTGGCTGCTTATAAAAGGTCTTAAAATAGTCAACAAAATAAAATATGTAAAATTCAGGAGTACTACTATAACGTAGGTTCCCCCCTTTTTCCTTGACCTTTAAAGCATCTGGGGGGCTTGGGCCCCTCGGATGAGTCTGGCTGCTTATAAAAGGTCTTAAAATAGTCAACAAAATAAAATATGTAAAATTCAGGAGTACTACAAAAACGTAGGTTCCCCCATTTTTTCTTGACCTTTAAAAGGTCTGGGGGGGCTTGGGCCCGTCGGATTGGCCTGGTTGCTTATAAAAAGTCTTAAAATAGTCACCCAAATAAAAAAAGTTAAATTCAGGATTAGTACTATAACGTAGGTTCCTTTGTTTTTTCTCGAGCTTTAAAGCGTCTGGGGGGGCTTAGGCCCTTGGATAGGTCTGGCTGATTACAAAAGATCTTAAAATAGCCAATTAAATAGTATATATAAAATTTAGGAGTACTACTATAACGAAGGTTCCCCCATTTTTTCTTGACCTTTAAAGCGTCTGGGGGGGGGCTTGGGCCCCTCGGATTGGTCTGGCTGCTTATAAAAGGTCTTAAAATAGTCACCCAAATAAAATATGTAAAATGCAGGAGTACTACTATAACGTAGGTTTCCCTATTTTTCCTGGACCTTTAAAGCGTCTGGGGGGGCTTGGGCCCCTTGGATTGGTCTGGCTGCTTATAAAAGGTCTTAAAATAGCCAACCAAATAAAATATGTAAAATTCAGGAGTACTACTATAACGTAGGTTCCCCCCTTTTTCCTTGACCTTTAAAGGGTTAGGGGGGGCTTGGGCCCCTCGGATTGGTCTGGCTGCTTATAAAAGGTCTTAAAATAGTCAACCAAATAAAATATGTAAAATTCAGGAGTACTACTATAAGGTAGTTTCCCCCCTTTTTCCTTGACCTTTAAAGCGTCTGGGGGGGCTTGGGCCCCTCGGATTGGTCTGGCTGCTTATAAAAGGTCTTAAAATAGTCAACCAAATAAAATATGTAAAATTCAGGAGTACTACTATAACGTAGGTTCCCCCCTTTTTTCTTGACCTTTAATGCGTCTGGGGGGGACTTGGGCCCCTCGGATTGGTCTGGCTGCTTACAAAAGGTCTTAAAATAATCACTCAAAAAATATATGTAAAATTCAGGAGTACTACTATAACGTAGGTTCAGCCCTTTTTTCTTGAGCTTTAAAGCGTCTGGCGGAAGTTAGGTCCCCTGGAATGCGTCTGGCAATAATGAATGTTGGTTTTTAATAACAATGTGTAAAACATATATGAAAACCAGCGGTATTACTTTAACGTAAAAAGGTACCTTTTTTATGTACCTAAGGGGTCTATTCTGTAACTTTTCAGTTATGTTTATCGGCTGGGTTATAAGTTTATTTATAACCAAATCGATATATTTTTAACTGTAATTCCCATTCTGTAAGTTATGAATATAACTATCAGTTATTTTTAACTTCATATCGTACAGGGTTAAAACTCGTAGTGATATTAGCTACAAATTTCAACGAACTTCAACGAACTATCTTCAAGATTGACAAATGTTAATACTTATTAGGAGTTTACGGAAAAATGTACTACCTAATTTTTAATAGAAATATTAAAACCTTATGATTTACTTGAAATCCTATTAAGTAAATGTTAAATTAAAGAAAATAAATCCTTCCAACTTCGTGTTTAATATTGGCGGGATAACTGTCAACTTGACAGTGTCAAGTGTTGTCAGTATAGTTTTTCTATAATCTGTGCAAAGGGGAAAATAAAATGAATAAAAAAAGGGATAGATCGACAAAAAAACAATTACATGCCTTAGTAGCATACATAGAAGAAAACAGAGATATGGTTTATCCCTCAAACGAAGCCGCCCAATATCAGGCGTTTAAACAAAAATGGGAAGACCTGGCAAAACATTTAAACGCAATTGATGGGCCACAAAAGACGACGAAGCAGTGGAAAAGTGTAAGTAAACGTGTCTTACGATAATAGCTTTACTTTGTAGGACTTATCCAATGACTAAATTGAGATTTTAGGTGTTTAATGATTTAAAGTCGAACGCAAAAAAAAAACAAAGAAAACTAATTGTTGAGCATACTGGAACTGGTGGAGGTCCAAGTTCTGGCATAAAACTTTCAGAACTGGATGAAAGGATAATCCAGCTAATTAACCCAGTGGTTATTGAAGGGGTCTCTGGTATTGATGAAGGTGGAATTATTATAGAAGAGATTTTTTTAGAGCCAGTAGAAAACATAAAACTACATGAGACAGGTACATAAAAATTGAATCATAAATATTAAAGTAAGTTATTGCTTCTGCAGTTTTATTGGTTTTATTTTAACAATTAATGAAATGTACAATTATTAAAAGTAGAAGGTGAACCTGAACCATCTGACAGTTATCGAATTTTATGCAAAACGCGGTAAATAATAAATTTTTATGTCCTAGGCCTGGGTTATAAATAATTTTAAAATGCCGAGGCCATAATCAATACGTAGTGTCAATTGTTGACAACAATAAAATTTAATTTATACACCGATTAAAGATAAATATTATTTTAGGTTTAGATTCAGAAGATGGTGAAGGCAGTGAGAATATAGAAAACATTGATCCTGCACCTATCCGGAAAAAGCCCATAAGGAGAAGGCTAAAAAAAATGCCTGTAAATCATGATATACTGCTCCGGCAGTTGATAGCCAGCAACTTTGCAGTGGCAAAGGGGCTTAATAATATTGCAAAGGCCATTAGAAGGCGATAATAAAGACAATTTGTGGCTGCTGGAGCATTTTGGGTAAACTGATATCAGATATTAGTTCCATACCAAACTTATATGAGTTTTTACTGACATTAAATGAACAAGTTCTGCGCAAGAAAAAAGTTAGTTTTTTAATTACGATTATTCAATCACTTTCATACGTTCACCAACGTTTATTGAAAAAAATTCAAAATTTATTAATAAGTAGGTATTACAGATTTTATACCATTTTAAATTTTTATTAATTTAAATTAATTACAGATTTTATACCATTTTAATTTTTTATTAATTTAACTATGATTTTAAAAAAATTGAAAATGGTATAAAATACTCTTGGATTTTCAAAATAGATTTTGACACAGTAGTGAATTATAAATTTCACCTCTTTAATTTGATTAAGCTTAAATAGGGTGTGCAAAACTAACTTTTTCAATTTAAATTTTGCTTACGCAGAACCTGTCCATTCAATGTCATTATAAACTTATATAAGTTTGGTGTGGGTAACATGTCAAATTACTCAGATATTGGTAAACCCAAAAAATTTTAGTTTTGTGATATTTGTTTTAGTTCTTATTTTGTTCAAAGTTCAAAAACTATTTTTTTATATATTTAAATAAAAAATAATTAAAATATAACGTTTTTATTGGAAATATTCCTGACATATTACATCCCTTTTTCTGTTGCCTTGAACATAAAAATTGCCTTCTTGGAGGTCATTGTCAAATATTTCCTCTTCGACAACTTCATCATAATCATCTGGGAGATCTACATTGAAATGTAAGGCAATATTATGTAGTACAGCACAGGTATTTATAATTTTTCCTGCTTTAACAGGATTATAATTGAGTGTTCTGTGTTTCAATAAACATCGGAATCTTCCCTTTAGTATCCCATTGACTCTTTCTATGGTCACTCGGGCTCTTCTTAAATGAGTATTAAATCTGCCTTGTGGAGTATCATTTCGAACATTTCCTGGATATTGTGTTAGCACCCAAGGTGATAATGGATATCCTTCATCACCAATCAAATGGTAATTTGAATTCCCTTCCAAATATATTCTTTGCAAGTGCATGTTAATTCTTGACATTTGCCAAATTGCAGTATCATGTACTGATCCTGGAAATCTAGCATTTACATTTAAAATTTTTAATTCAGCATTTGCAATTAATTGCACATTAATGCTATAATATCCTTTTCTATTATAATAAGGGCCTGCTGGATATTGAGGGTGGTCATTTGGTGGAGAAATGATTGCAACATGAGTGCAATCAATGCTGCCTACAATCCCAGGAAATCCATAGCGATCAAAAAATAAATTAATGTTCTGATTAATGTTTTGAGGGGTGGAGGGAAAAACTATCCATCTTTGTAAAAGAACATTATTAATAACATTACACACCTCTGATATGCAACGACTAACTGATGATTGGCTCATTGCAAAATGAAAAGTGGTACTAGTATCCAGCTGGTAACCCCCATGTCCTTAAAATTTTAGTGTGCACAATATTTTTAGATGGGCAGGTATTGCAGTGTTTCTTAATTCATCATTCATATGTGGTAAAAGATTTTCGATAAGAAAATAAGTAGCTTCCTTGTTAAGTCTAAATAATTTTAAGAATGAATATTCGGGCAGTTGAAAAACGTCACTTGTATCACGTAAATTGCGATTCATTATTCGTGCCGCATTACTAAATAAAAAAAAAATAATAAAATACTCTAGGGTATGAAATAGTTTACCGTCTTCTCCTGTCTCTTTCATTTATGTAATTAATAGCAAAAAAGTTTAATACTGCAGCCATTTGTAATAATTATTCTTATAATGCACCTTTGAAAGTGTTTTTTATTTAAATCAAAATTATAACTCAAAAGTTATTTTTATCGCCTAGTAACATACCTCACGATATACATTTCGGAATAACCAGCGGTATATCGGCATCGGGTTAAATTTTAAACCAAAGACGAAGTTACAGAATCGCTCTAGAGATTTTAACCAGTCGATATGATATAACCCTGGGTTATTTATAACTAAAAAGTTACAGAATAGACCCCTTAGTGCCCGTTATCTGTAAAAGGGCCCCGCTTTTAAGCTAGCAAGTACCCATACGTTTTTAACTACATATTAAGACATTTGTTAAAAAAATCTCAGCAGTATTAAAATGACGTAGGTCTGGCAGCTCTGGGATCTTACTCTAGTAAGATCTAGTAGAAAAAAAGTCAATTAGCAATTTTGAAGATCTTTTAATGTTCTACAAATTTGTTCTGAACAATTTTTTTATCACCTACAGTTCAAAAGTTATGTGTCTAAAATCCTATTTTCATGATTATGCATATATGCATAATCATGAAAATAGGATTTTAGACACATAACTTTTGAACTGTAGGTGATAAAAAAATTGTTCAGAACAAATTTGTTGTCTACCCTGCACCAAAATGGCTGTCGGCCAGTGTTATAACACTGGCCGACAGCCATTTTGGTGCAGGGTAGACAACAACTATTTTAGGGTAATTTGAGTACGCCGAATCCAAAAATGACCATCATTTTGCTCAATCAGCTCTTGTTTTTGCTATGTAGACAAAAAACCATTTTTTATATGCGCACTTTCAAATGCTTAAATATATTTTTTTAAACTTAATTTAAGCAAGGATAGTTGGTAATGTTGCTAAGGGTCTTTATTAAACTAAAAAAATACCATATACATTGATAATGGTATTCTCTTTAAAAATCTTGCTTTCATCGAAAGAAAATCGGATATTTTAAAAATTTAAAGTGATACAGCATGATCCATTTTTGCCCGATTTAAATAAAATTTACCCTATTTGTAGCTCTATTTATCTACTTTATTGTGTTAAAATTTCAATGCAATATAGAAAAAAAATATTTTTTAGTCTACATCGCAAAAACAAGAGATGATTGAACAAAATGATGTTTATTTTTGGATTCAGGGTATCTAAATTACCATTAAAAAGTTGTTGGTTGCCATGCACCATAAACCTTAAAAATTATTTTCAGTATTTCAAAACTGTTTTGAAGTATAAAATTTTATTTGCAGTCAAAAGCTGGATCATGAAATTAAGAATATCATAAAAGTTAAGCTATTTTAGCTTAAATTCAGCGATTAATTGAGTTTATTGAAGAATCTTGGTACGTTATTTCGAGTTTCCTGCAAAATTGTCTTTTTTCCCAAAGTGAATATTATAATAATATATTATGCAGAAAAATAAAAATAGGATTTTAGACACTTATAACTTTTGAACTGTAGGCGATAACAAAAAATTGTTTAAAACAAATTTGTAGAGTATTAAAAGATCTTTAAAATTGCTAATTAACTTTTTCTTCTACGATTAGTACTTTAGCTGCTAAATGTAAAAATATCAATTTTTTTTAGAATTTATACGTTTTAACGTTAATAAAAAAGAAAGAGTTGAGTCTACAAACTGGACTTTTTTGTAGATAATTTAATGCTAAAAAAGGACCAGTGATTGTTTATCAAAAAAAAAGTTTTACATAGCATGCAGGCGAAATAAATCTTAAAAAACTATTTTTCCATGTTAAATCAATGAGAAAACTTTAATTTCGATGATGGACCTTTTAAAATTAATATTAAGAGCTCAAATTTTGACAGAATTTTTTTTTAGCATAAGTGACGAGAATTTCGGATGAATTTGAAAAAGAAAAATATTGCTTTATTTTGAAACACCCTAGTAAAGGGTGATCTAATTAGTGCTTTAGGATTTTAAAACAAAATAAAACACAAACATTGTTGCAAGGCCAAAGTATTTTGTTTTTATTTGAAAGACTAACTAATTACAATTATGTTTTGAAAATAATATCGGTCAAAATTTGACATTTAATGTCCTCTACGACTTTGTTGACAATAGCGCATTCGAATAGTCCAATTTAACATTACGTTTTCACACATTTGGACGAATATCTCACGAATAACATTTCTGATGTTGGTTTTTAAATCCTCAATTGTTCTTGGATTGTTAGCGTAGACCTTCGACTTCACATAACCCCACAGGAAGAAATCACACGGCGTTAAATCACAAGATCTTGCTGGATAAATTACAGGGCCATTTCTTGAAATAACTTTTTCAAGTGCTCTTGCAATAACTCCATGGTTTCGTTGGCGGTGTGGCACGTAGCGCCGTCCTGTTGGAACCACAATTGTTCCAGTTGGTTTTCAATAACAATTGGCAAAAAATAGTTGTTCAACATTGCCCGATAACGAACTCCGTTTACCGTAACACGCTCTCCTTGGGCATTCTCGAAGAAATAAGGCCCAATGATTCCACGCGCATGGATGGCACACCACACACCACCTTTTCTGGATGCAACGGCGTTTCTTCATATGCATGAGGATTCTCCTCACCCCAAATTCTGCAGTTCTGCTTATTAACATAGCCGTTTAAAAAAAAATGAGCATCATCGCTGAACATTACAGTAAGATGAAAAAAACGGATCTTCAGTCAAATGTTCGATCGCCCAAGCAGCGAAATTACGGCGACAACGATG